AGAGAATTGCTGATTGAGAACTTCGAAGCAAGCATCCATGTCAACTTGAGTTGGACATATAATGCAGCAACCATCTATGTAACGACAGTACAGCAATGGCTTTCTTGGCAACACGGGCGCCTCTACTTTGAACATAAATATGATAGCTAGGGTTGGAGTTAAGCGTTGTCCCAGTGCTAAACCTCTAACCTGCTTGTAGTAATGGCTTCTGAAAATAGCTTGTCACCGCAACCCGGGCACCTTTATGGTCAAATAAAATACAGTAACTTTAAATTATTTCCCACGTTACCGTATTTTAGAAATCCATCTGTCTATTGTTGTGAATACTGTATATATTAACTTTCAGATGAGTCATCTTCGACGGCAACGCGCGATTCGTCGTTGCCTTTTTATGGCCACCATTCAAGTAATTCTCAATGCTCCCTATTACACCCTACAGCTTATTGATGAGATATATTCCTTGCAGTAAGTCTTTTTCACATGATTAGTTCTCTTCTAAAACTAATTATTAATTTATAAATTTAGATCAACCCCCTCTGGTCTCATTCCTTATTTGTACATGGATGCAGTGTTGTATTTATTATATTTATGTCAATTCCCACTGGTCTCACTCTACATTGCCACGCTCTACTCGGATATGAAAGCTGTGGACAAGTAAGTGTGAACACATCCATATTTTAGATTACGATAATGCTCGACTTAATGTGCATATGCGGAAATCTGGGGAGATTGCAAGTCATAATGTCACAAAATTAAAATCGAGTTAGTCATCGCATTTGTCCATTCGTTTGCTGACTCTAAGAGTTTACGAAAAGCTTTTTCATAACCACTTCCTATGCCGCGCTTGAACATGAGCAATCGCAATCGACTAAATCCCTCGGTAATAGATGAAGTTATGACTTATAGCTTGCCCCAGTCTTTTTCAATCGTGCACCAATTCACGAAGAACTCGTGCCTCGCTGCGCACATGTCGCTCCAAGACTTGGCGCGAGTCACGACTCAAAT